ACACACACACACACACACACACACACACACACACACGCTCTGCGGGAGACTCCCCAGCCTGACCTTTTTTCTCTCCGACAGACGAAAGAGTTGAGAAAGTTGCGCGGCGCTGCGGAGAGCCTCCAGCTGCAGTAGCACTTCAGTCCCGGAGGAGTTGGCGACACAACCCATAGTAAGTGGACCGCAGAGAGAGCGGGACGCTGCGGGCAGCGGCGGCGGCGGTCAGGGGGGGCTCGCGGGATCGGCCGGGAGCGCGCGGGACGCTCCGCTGACGGTTCCCTCCAAGCTGGATGAAGCTTCTTGCTGGACAACTCTGATCTAGTCTCTGAGAGCTTCTTTGATGATGATGATCTCTCTCTCTCTCTCTATCTCTCTCTTTGACTTCTCTCTCTCTCTCTTTCTCTGTCTCTCTCTCTCTCATTAGTGATTCCCTCTTGCCCCCTTGGTGCTCTCTCGGTTACCCGTCGGCCACTCCTCCTCGTCTTATCTCCAGCCAAAAGGATTGAGGGATCTGCGGCGCAGACCCCTCCCCGCACCGGCCGCATGATAAATCTATTATCCATGTAAATACCGGAGGAGGAAGGAGCCTGGCGGACTTGAACTCATTCTGTCCGTCACTCTTTCTCTTTCACACACAAAAATAAAAGCGCTCAGGTGTGTAGAACACACACTCTTTCAGAGGGCCCTTTTTAGTCGCGCTTAACTATTTTAAAGATKATTTTATTCACTGTCTGGGCCTATCCCAGCAGCTCTCACAAGAAAATTCATTTTTAAATAATAAAAAAAATGATTTCAATTGTGACAAAAAAACTTCTGCAACTAATAAGAATTTTTAAATATATTCCAAAAACACAGATTGTTTAGAAAATAAATGCTCTAATAAGAAGGTTTTTTGAGAGCATAATTTGCTATAAACACTTCAAATTTCTTTAGATAAATTGTATGTAGCAAATTACTTATTTATGTGATATTATTAATATTTTTCCTCTTTTACAATTATGCACAAACACAATAATGAAGCTCCTTTTTAATATTTAATAAATTAAGCCAATTAGCCTACTGATTAAAATAAGTTAATTAAATCTCTTAATATTTGCATGGCTGCAGCATTTGAATAATTTAGTCTCTCTCTCTC